ATTATTTACACATTCTGCATCAATCTTAGAAAAAAAAAATACCTATCAACTTCAAAATATACGTTTGAAAATATAAGAAGAATGAGAAACTGCCTTCTAACCCATCAAGAAAAAGTTTGCACTTTTGGTTGTCAGTAATATTCAAACATTTATAAACATGTAATACTAAAGCCATCAAGATCTTCTTCCCAAGGGAAACTGAATTAATTCCCTAAGTTCATGTCTAAACAGGAAAAAAAAAAATCATGTTTTACAGCTACAATCTAGGCCATGATTAATCTAATAGTTGAACAAGTCAAGGGCACAAACATGATAATTAACAAAGACTATAACTTGAAGACAACATGCAATCATAAAGGCTGAGGATTTCATACTCACTGCCATAAAATGCGTCACAGAAGGGCGATACAACACAGTTTTTCGTGGGTTAGGTGGCAAAGTAGGATCAACAATATCTTGAGGGAAGTTAACACGGTTGGAACCTGAAGCCCCATTCTGACCAATCTTAGTAACTCCTGACTGGTAGAAGGAACCACTGGGTTCCCACTCCAAGCATTGAAGCATTCTAAATGTGTCAAGAGTGAGCTCTGAAAATTTGACCTGATCAAGATAAACAATGATAAAAAAGAAAAAGAAGAAAGGCATTTGAGCATCATTTTACATAACAGTTCCAAGATAAACAGATCGCTTGAAAATTTAATGTGAAAATACACATATAGGATTATGCTATATATCAGGGAAGAAGAGGAAAAATAAAAACCTGAATACCTAACCTCATTGTGATGATAACTACTTAATATTGCATCTTGCAACCTTAAATTCCTCCTTGCTACAGGTGCAGCTACATTAGGTATACCATCTGGATGAGGATCCAGCACAAGGCTGTACCTTAAAGGCCTGGTATTCATTAAAGTGGTGTCAGCTTTCAAAAATCTACCTATCTCTTGAGCCACCAGCTTCCATTCTTTAAAGTCTGCATCCTGAAAAGCAGATAATTCAAAGATCATCAATCTGTACATGATGAAAAAAGAAGTTTCACGGACAATGACATCAAAAGTGTTCAAAGAAAGAAAAATTTTGATTATCATATTGAATTTAATGGCTTAGGGTGTCCACTGTCTCATGAATTAAAACATCTAACCACCTGTCTCATGAATTAAAACATCTAACCACCTGTCTCATGAATTAAAACATCTAACCACCTGTCTCATGAATTAAAACATCTAACCACCTAGACTGGAACCAACAACAAAGATGAGGAGCGATCAAACTTAGAATGGAATAAAATAATTTTACTACTAAGACTGCATTACATGACAATTGTTCTATGTTCCAAAAGTATCCCATACTCCTTAAAATATTGTGACAATAGGAAACAACCTTAGAATAAGAGAGGGGAAAATGAAGAGACCTGGAATGTCCTCTTGCATTCATCAACCAGCATCTTTAGCTGATTAACCAATTGATGCACCATTTCTCGCCGGTTCAATACCAGACATACCATCAGAAACCTTGCAAGAAACCTCAACTGTTTGTTAGCTAGATTGAGATCTTGATACATTCCATCTTTGAAATACTCCCGAGTGAGTATTGCCTCATAGAAGATATATGCCTCAGACAAATAACTTGCCTCACTTGTCCTCATATATTGTCCATAATACAACTGAGCAATCCGAGATGCAATCTCCCCAATCTCCCACCTCTTAAGTCCTGATTCCACAAGTTTTTGACGATTTTCCTGTTGAAACTTCCATAATTGGGTGTAAACCTTGAATACCTTGTAAAAGTATGTATCATACCTGCAGTGTGGAAAATAAGCATGCCAAAATTTCTAATTCAATTACCTCTCTGAGAATTATCATAAATTAGAGTTCCATTACAATGATGGAAACCAAAAATTATGCTAAGAAATGAATAGATAAACAATTGATACTAACCGTGCAATAATTCAATCACTTCTTCTATCTGTTCTGTTTGGTTATGATAAAGAACATAGGCAGGAAATTACAAACTAATAATAAAAATTTCAATCCACAAATCAGGCCCCAGTTGTCTTTCTTAAACACGGAATTCAAATGAGAGATTGAAGAAAACTGAAGCCCTGCTGATTTTGTTTTCTAGTTATAAAATTTTCCACTAACATATTTATCTAGCATTTCCCTGAATGCATTTCTAATTGTATTATTCTTTTGTTTTTTCCTTCTGATCAGCTAAAATAAATTCTGAATTAAATGCAACTACAAGGGCTACTCAAACCCTTATACTTCCATTTAACATTCCCACATAATTCCACATTGGAATGTAAATCCACATGTTGGCCAAAAGCAAAGGAATGGAAATTAACGTGTTAATTTTTAGATCTCAATATTATAGATAAATGATAATCTTTTGGTTGCTAAGGAAACTGAAAAGAAAAGAAGTTAACCTTGTACATTATGGTTGTTCAACTCTGACGGTAACAGCATACTTCAGTGTATTTAGCATAACGCAATCATGGGTAAATTATTTTTCTCAGCTAGAAAATCAAAAAGAAAAAAAGAAGTCTTTAACCAGTAATTTTTTCGAGGAAAAAGAAACTCCAAAGTAATATAATTCTTCTCTACTTAAACTATAACAAAACAAATGGTATAGCTTTTTCCCTATGTGAATATTCCTTATTTGGCACTCACCCACAATTGAGCACACAACCATTTCTCCTGATTAAACAAAACCAATAAGAAAAGCAAAATCCAAATATGTTTGCTCTTCTCTTCATTGTCTACCGTTCATGTCAGCTAAACAGTAAGTTCAATTCTAAGTATTTGGTTCAATTAGTTTTTTCCTTTTCCCCATTTCGAAACACAGTGTATAGATCAGAAAATACTACAACAAGAAAATAATAACAATAATAATGAGGAAATTGTAACAAAACAGAAACGATTGCTTAAGTTTTGCCATTAATGAAACCTAGGAAACTGAGAAAAACTAAAAATTACAAGTCCACACAAATCGAATAAAAAGAAAGTAACATAAATTTTAAGGGGAAAAAAAAAAGGTGATGGAAACAAAACAAACGAAAGAGAGAGAACCTGTTGCGTTCGTAATAAGGCAAGTCTCTGATCTTAGAGAACTTCTTGTCCGCTTTATCAACAAGAGTCCAGTACCTCTCGCTCACTGGAATGCTACTGTTGTCCATCAGCTGCTGCGACCTCATAAATTCACTTACTTCTCACGAGACAACATTTGACGATACCATCTCCATCGGATTTTTTTGGGCGCACTTTCCGATGATCTAATCGAAGTGTAGATGTAGTGATCAGTTGCAGCGGAGCAAGAACTGTAGAATTGACAGATTGAGCGGAGATGTTCACCAGAGCTGGAGATGCGGATGCGCGTAGGTTTGCGACTGAAACTATTTCGCCAGTGTGTTACTTTAGAATCAGCATCAACCCGATATATCAATGCCCCAGTTTTGCCCTTTGACAGCCCTCTCTCTCAATGGGTTTGCTGTCTTTCCAAACGAAATCAACCCAACACGGAAAATAGTGTCTTTTAACGGAAGACGCGAAAATTAGGATGTTCTTTCTATAAAAATATATATATATTAAAAAACCTAATAATAATTAAAAAATAAATTTAATAAAATTAAAATTTATATTATATTTATATATTTAATAATTATAATTAAATATATTGATATTTTTAATATTCATAGTATTTCCTCTTCTCTTTAATACCGTTTTTTTTAACAGGAGAGGTCAAATAAAAAAAATATTTTATACTCTGAATTGTTATAAATGTTCCATTTTGCCTTTGCACAATACCTACTTGGAATGGGCTTCGCGTCTTTTCGCTCATTTTTACAAGGGATTTACTGTAGCTTGGGGCTTTCCGTCGACAAAATCCCAGAAATGCAGCCTTCAAAAGCATATAAAAGGCACCTCCTAAAACCAGAATTCCCATTAAAAACCCATTTTCCCTTTCGCATGCAAACCCGGACAAGGAAACCCAGAAAACCATAAATTAGAGAAACCGGCTACCGTCCACCTCCGCCGTAAACAACTGAAACAGAGAAAAAACCAGAAGAACAAAGTTGGAGGAAGCTTCCAAGAGGAAAGACGATGGAGGAGAAAAAATAACTCGCCGGAGAAAGTAAGGGAATGGGTTTGAATTACCCAAGAAGATAGTGTAGAGGGAGGCCTGTCGCTTGCACACTTGTAGACCCGCACAAGTACCGGAACCGCTAAAGGTCATCGTGTTTTCAAGCTTGGAAAACAACTTCCCAAACTTGACTCCGGGTGTTATTTTCCCAAATTTGTTGTATAATTTTCGTTTTCTAAGTAACTACCAAACACGGGAAAATACAAAAAATATTTTGTGTCAGACTTTCCACGAACCGAACGGACTCAGAATTTATATCCTTAAACATAACCAGAAAATGAAATTCAAGGTTCCCAAAATATCATGCAGCCACCATTAACAGACAGAAAGCAGCACAAGAATAGAACCCAGTGTCATAGTTAACAGAGGGGAAGGAAGAACAGTAGCATTAATACCAAAGAAAAATGGTCTGCAGCTCCTAATAGAATTGAACCCTGAGAGATTACCAAAGCTAACGGAAGGAACAGCATCATAAACGCTATTTACAAAAATTAGCAGCCACTTAAAAGGGAAAAAGTTCCAGTACCATTAGCACTATTTAAAAAACTAGGAATACGCCCTAGCTTTCTTCCAAAACCTTTGGGATGTTAACGATGACTAAACAACCTACTTTCCTCTCTTCTTAGGCTTCTTCTGATTTCTTCCTCTGGTTTGAGTGGTAATTTTTTCCTCTGGTTTCTTCACTGCCTTCACTTGCTCACTCTTGGTGACCTTTCTACGCTTCTTTTGATCCTCATCATCATCATCATTGCCATCATCTTCACTGCTACCATCACCTTTATGATAATTGTCATCATCAAGACTCCCCTTGGATTTCTTATGACCTCTAGGATTCCCCCCTTTTTTTGATTTGGAAACTGCAGCAGTTTCCTCCTCTTCATCCACATCACCAGCTTCATCATTATCCTCACCTCCTTTTCTCTTAGAACCCTGCTTTCTTGGTTTACCCATTGCTGTTGTTAATTGCATTCCACTTAACTTTTGCAACTCCGGCACGTATGCTGTTGTCTACAATCAAAAACACAGGCTTGTTAGATAAGGCACTTGGATAGAGAAAGATCATATGAAATCTAGTTTTAGAATAACCTACCCTGCCACCAGCGCTGATAAATTCAATTTTCTTTCCTGTCATAACACAGAGGCCATCTAAGTTATTTTCCAGAAATTTACACATTCTAATGAACTGAACGAACAAATTATGGCAAGAAAAAAAAGGGGGAAGAAATGTTCCTAAAAGATAATGAACTCATTAATAGGGGATGCTGTCACTTTTGACATTGCTTTTTATATAAAACTAAACAAACAACAGAAAAAACAGAAAGGTATATGCACATGCATGCAAGCATGAGCACACACGCAGCTTTTGTTAACATGCAAAAATTGCTTACATGCAAGACTGCTTACACCATTCAAAGGGTAGTTAAATAATGAAAGGTAAAGAGCCAAACCATCGACAAAAGCCTTTCCAGGCTTATTATCACGGGAATGCAGTATCCAATTACTAGGAAACTGACTACTATCTGCCCCAACTTCAACTGCTTTTTCAATGACCTGTAAAATCAACATTTCTGATCACAATGATAAGTTTTATCAACAATATCGTACCATTAACTTTTCCAGGCTTTTTGCCCCACCGAAAATGAAACAACCATTCATTAGGAAAGCAGCTGCACTCAGCGTCAACCTTGACAGCATATTGAATAACCTACAGATATTTTTCTTCTATACTTTCCATGAGGAATGCCCACTTACAATAAAAAAATGATCAACTACAGATGATACAAATCTTCCTACCTCCTTGATGCTCTTGAGCAAAGTTGCACAATTTTCTTTGGACAAGTTGGAAGCAGGTGTTTGTGGATGAATCCTTGCCTGTGAAAAAGTTGAAAGTAAAACTAAATCCAAGCTTTCTCACATCCATCATATGGAATATAAAATAATTGCTCCTCAAAGAAACATTACACATTTACTTCCCAGTTAATAATACTATTTAAACTTCACTCTTTAAGAATTCATTAATGGATTCTGGTCAGTTCTACCCTATTGTTCACTCACACTTAACTTATTCTTTCATAATCCGTCTCCTTTCCAACATTAAAGGGGAAAAATGCTATTCCTAACTCTCTTTTTTTTTTTAAATAATAATAAAGAGAGAAAACTCTTTCAGCCAACAAAATAAAAACAAAAATTCAGCTCTGCATTAGCTTTAAGTATCAAGTTAGTTCCACAAGGACATCATCAAGTATTCTTTCAAACTAATTACCTGGTACAGCAGTAAGGATTGAAAGGACTACAATCTAGAGCATACTGTGTACATGAACATGTTCTGCCTCAGGTGGCATAACACCTTCCTACACCACGGCCAATTACAACCACAACATGCTGGGTTTAAGCTAAGAGGTTTGAAGAACAAGAACTTTGGGATTATGTATGAGAATGGCAATGTGTCTGTACATTTTGTATGACTATTTTTCTTCTTACAACAGAAAATAGATGATGATCCACCATATGCTGAACAAATTGTCATAAGTGGGTTGGAGTACCCCTTGTATTCCCAATAAAATTTAGATTCATCAATGAAAAAAAAAAAGAAAAAGATGACAATCCATATTGCCAGGTCTCCAACTCTTCTTTTTCAGAACTTTCAAAGTTCAAACACAATGAAAGACCCAATATGGCATCTCGGAACAGTTCATATTACTCCAAACAGTTCTGATGACAAAACCAACAAGAAGCATGCATATAATTCTCCATAGCCCCAACCTCAACAAAAAGATATACTATTATTAGACTGAATTATCTTCCTAGAGGTACAAAAAAGCAGTGTTGTAAAAAGCAGGCCTAGGCGGTGCCATTCTGCCTGCACCAGCCTCTAGGCAGAAATTCAATGTGGTTTGCACTGCCCAGATCAATTAAGCACGCCCAGACACTATTAGGCACGCTTAATGGTGCCTAAAGCGCCTCAGCAAATTTTTTAATTAATTTTTTAGCCTAATGAAATGATGTTTAATTGATTATAAAAATTATATTAAAAAAACATTAAATGCCAAATAATTCCCCTAAATTCTACTCTTCAGACATGATAACGAATAGAAAAATGTTTAATTTTTCCATTTATCTTATAATTTTTAAAATTGTTTTACATTTTTTTCTTATTTTCTTAGAATTATATCAAAAAATTATTATTAAAAAAAAAACTCCCCTAAATTCTACTCTTCAGACATGATAACGAATAGAAAAATGTTTAATTTTTCCATTTATTTTATAATTTTTAAAATTGTTTTACATTTTTT